GCCATAACTCGGCTCAAAATGGACCAATCTTTTTGAAACAAAAGTTTAAATGTGTATTTCTGAGTGCTCTAAAATTTTACAATTCATGTCAGAAGGGTACCGTGTTTCTAAAATACTGAAAAATTGAAAAAACTACTTTTTTTGAAAAAAAAATTTGAAAAAATTTTTTCAAAAAAAAAATCTCGAAAAATTTTTTTCAGATTTTGATTAAACTTCGAAATTTAGCTAATCAAACCTCGGGCTTTCAGAAAAAAATAGTGTCATCTGCGAACGAATGTCAGTTTTTGAGCAATTCAGCTTTAAAAATTACATACAAAAATTCCAAAAAATTCAAACGCGTCTAAGTCGCCCCAGCTTTACAGTATCAAAAAATGAAGTACTAACAAAATGTGCAGAATCAAATGTTCTACAACTTTTATTATTAGCACTTTTTTGATTAAGGCCGCCGCTACCAAGTTATAGGCAAAAAACTGAAAAATTGATATTTTCGAACTCAAAAAAAAAAAAAGTTTCTATCAGAATTTTATGAAATGCTCAGTTAATACTAAACAAATAAAGGGCTTTCAAATGTATATAGTCTCCACTGCTGGGAATAATTCATTTTTGAGCAATAGCGTACCATGGGGCAACAACTTTTTTTTCAAACGCGCCTAAGTCGCCCCAGCCACAATGGACCAAAAATGTAATACTACCAAAAGATGTAAAAAACCAAACTGTACAACTTTACTGTTTGGACCATTTTGATTGCGGCCACCGTTCCCGAGTTATGGGCCAAAAACAAATTTGACCTACTTAACGAGGATTGTGACCTACTTTTTTTATTTGCTCATAAGATAGTACTTAAAAAATGCTATCCAACGAGCTATCAAAAAGTATATGTTGGTCGAATCGTTTTCGGGTTTTTGCTCATTTGAAAATTTTTGTTTTTAGTTTTGACCTACCAGAAAAATTTTGGTAGATCAAAAAATATGTCAGCGTACTGCCCGTCCAATATAGACCCTAATGCAAAAAAGTACTTCCCAAAAGCTCAACTACGAAAAAAGTTATGACCAAAAAACCAAATTTTTAAAAAAGTTTGTATGGGGCGTACCGCCTTTGGGGTGGACCATATCAAAAATCTAAAAGGGGTATGTCCCCCTAATTTTTTGCAAGCTATCTAATCTGAAAGTTTGGACCGATTTGGAGATGGTGACCCCCCTTACCTCACGCCAAATAGCGCAGGCTGCGCCTGCGCCTGAGCCTAAGCCTAAGCCTAAGCCTAAGCCTAAGCCTAATAAAGTGACATCCCAGAACACCTCTGAACAATAGAGTGCCAGCCCCTAATATAATGCCACTGCTGATTTGATGTCACTTTGGTAAAAGTGAAGAATAAAACAAAACATCATTTTCTGGTTTTCTAGCTTTTTCAAGCTTAAAAAAAAACTGTACTCATCAAAGATCTTTCAGGGTGATATCAGACTCCGAAAGTTAGGCAGACTCTAGAAAGTTAGGCAGACTCTAATAACGACAACCATAGAAATCGTTAAAATAGAGAGTAAAGAAGAAATCACCTTTCACGAGGAAGACCAGAGGGAGCAATGAGACCAGAGGACATATGCATCCTATTTTTTCTTTGTTAGGATCAGTGCTGCAAAAAAAACTTAATCATGATTTTATCTGCTATCTCTACAAAATTATGATTTGTTCAACTAACTTTTTTCAAATTTTCTAAAAAATTAATAACAAGTTTTGTCATTCAGCTCTACCTGGGCATGGGCATTTTAGATCCAGTTTTCTGAACTGGGCTTCAACGACCGACGGGCTACCTACAGTGCGTCCAATAAGTTTAGGACCCCCTATATTTTGGCCGTCTGGCGAAAACTAGAAAAGTTATCAAAAGTCTGTGAATGTAGTTCGATTCCAAACAACCTCGGAAACCAAATGTTGAGTATCCCACTATTTTTGGTGCTTGCGTACAACCAAAAAGACACTTTTTCAGGCGTCCAATAAGTTTAGGACTCCCCTGAAGTTTTCGAGATTTTGAAAAATTTTTGTCGAATTTTCGCTTTTAAACTGGAAATAGTTTTCAGTTTTGAGCTGTTTCCGTACATTTTAATAGGTATTTGAGAAAATTTTCATATTTTGTTGTCTTTCGAAATCATAATTTTTTCTCGTATTTGGGTTTTTTTGTAAAAATGACTCAGTTTGTTCAAAATTCGAACATTTCGAAGGAAATGGGCATGGAACATACATAATATGATACTGAGAAGTGAATTTAGGTAATAGAATGTCAGTCAGGGGCTTGATTAAGTACAGACGGAAATATGATTCTTCCCATACCAGATGTATCAACTTCCTAGAAATGGTGGTGTGGGAAATTAAAAGAAAGGGGTCTTAACGGTCTACAATCAACTCAATGTGCACTTACTTATTGAAAAATGATCAAATACAGGTATATTCCAACGTTGCCTGAACTTATTATGTCCAGAATGCCTCATGTGGGAAAACATGAGTTTACCAGTGGCGGTAAAGCTTTTGGGTGGCAGGATCATCTTTGCGTCTGTATCCAATCAAGCCCCTGACTGACCTTCCAGTACCTAAATTCACTTCTCATTATCATATTCTGTATGTTCCATGCCCACTTGCTTCAATATGTTTGAATTTTGAACAAATTGAGTCATTTTTACAAAAAAAACCCAAAAATGAGAAAAAAAAGATAATTTCGAAAGACAACAAAATATGAAAATTTTCTCAAATACTTATGAAAATGACAAAAAAAGCCCAAAACTAAATCTCGAAAATTTCAGGGGGGGGGGGTCCTAAGCTTATTAGACGCACTGTATGTGATTAAAGTCGAGAATACACTTCCTTCCTCTGTTTTCTGTGTGTTTTTCGTATTGTGTTTTATTTTTGTCTGAAAGTGTGAAATAAATTGTCTCCCATTTTTTGTTGTAGTTTGCACAGTAGCTTTAGAAAAACTATTTTCCAACTTTCTTAATATCTAGCACGGCACGATATCGTTTTTTGATTTTCCTTCAGTACTATTTGTGTTGTTACAACGGTTGTTTTCTCTTCGCTGTTCATTGCCTGCCCGACGACCAACTCTCCTAGCCCCCCGTCTCATCGATTGTCTGCGCTTCTTCCACCAAATTCTTCTATTTTGCCCCTGTCACGTGTTCGCCGCACACAGCCGCTGCTGCCCCTTGGTCGCAAAATGTCACTCACAACGCTCACATATGCGCGCACACCGACACACACTCACACTCACAGTGAGTCAGTGTGTCGTCACAATGTTGTTTGCGAGCGTATGCGTACCAATTTTCATTCAGTTTCATTGTTCGTTTCCCTTTTCAATTTTTTTTTTTCGCGAATGCCAACGCCATTTCCCAAACTGGTCATTATCTGTTTCCTTTTCTCAGTTTCATTAAATTTTGACATTTTTGAGGGAATTCCGCAATATCGATTTTTTAGGTTTTCATAACCATCAACTTGACACCTTGGAATGGAGGATTACTACACGCCAACCAAGACCCTCAATGGAGAAGATATATTCCGTCCACGAGATTTTGAATCACCAGGTAATAACGAATGTATGATTCAGTTGGTTACAATACCTTAGTGATGTACTGATGTAACAACACTCAATACGAAAAATAAAATTGTTTTGCTTTGTCGCCAATTTGTGAAAAAAAAACTGAGAAAGACAAAAGAGAAGCCCAACAAAAGGTTCGAGCCCAGAAAGGGACAGCCGAGCATTGAAATTTCAGGTTCTCCGGAAAACATGATAATTGACGAATTGCGCATAATTTGTTTTTGCTTCAGATCATGTTAAAATGCAGATATTTTTACATTACGCAGCACCGAACTGTTGAGTTGATGAATACGCCACATCGATATGATAAACACGCAAAGGATTTATTCATCAAATATCGATAATATCTGTAAAAATTACCTTCTAATTGTGGAAAAATTGACTAGACATCTCTGACTAATATTGTTAGAATTGTATCGATGACCGAATATGAGAGAGGAGTTTTAATTGCATGTTAGTTAATAATCAGGAGAGATTGATCTATCGAGCTGTGTAATGAGCAACTATAATAACGTGCCGTTAATTATCACGTTTGCTGGCCTGTCATTCCACTAGTGGAGATTTTGTTATTTGCATTGAAAGTCTTGAAGTAGCAAAAACTGCGACAGGCACAAAATCTCTCGGTACTTTTTTGGCAATCTTTTTGATTATTCACGTTTCAGCCGTCTACATTCCAACACCTATCAACCCAGCTGTATCTGAAGTCACGCCAAGCAAACCGGAAGATAAAACTACACGACAAAAATATGGAGGTAAGAAGTCTCAAACTACTTTGAAGCATAGATATTAGGGAATATGTCAGTACTGTTGGATAGATAGCCTGATTCAGGTAAACGGAGTTTTGTTCTGGTTTTTGAGATTGAATAATTTACTGAAATAGTTGATAAAGTGAGTTTTGCTATTTCAAATGCTGTTAAGAAACTAATATTTATAATCTTTTGCGAAACTTTCGGGAGTTGGTTTATAGAACTCTTTTGAAGATAAGGGGACGTGTATATATGATTTTTTGGAGAATTGTCTATTAAAACCTTTATAAAAAATCAAACTAGCGCAAATCATTGGGAGTGCCGTGCTACTACCAACTGAGCTATGCGGTCAAACACTCGACTGACGACTGGTTTGACATATTCAAAACAAACGATATTTGTGCCTGAAAAAAATTCTAGCGACGTTCTTCCCTTTTTTCAGTAAAAATGATTTAACATTACTTCGACAAAAAAATCAGTGTTTACAAAATCTAGAACACTATGATTCCCTATTTTTATCACCTAAAAATCAATTTTTCAGGTAAACAAACAAAAAGAACGGACGATAGGAAGTTGGAGTGTGCTGGAGAGGATGATTTGCCTATTCTCCTATTTTATGATTTTCTATGTCGCATTCTTTACTTACCCTCACTTTCTTGTTATATGTATCGGATCTTTCGTTCTGTCCTCGTTTTCCAGGCAGCCACAACAGGAAAATTGTCAATGACGAGAAATCTTTCAAGGGTTGATCCACATAACAACGGGAGATTTCATTTTATGCTTGTTGAGAGAATTACTAATTGGGAAAAAATATACGAGCTCCAACTCTAAAAAAAACTTTGAGCAAGACGAAACAATAAGAAAAGTAGAAAAAACACGTTTCAGCCTACGATTTCAGCGAAAAATGGAAATTCCTTCATTTCATCGATTGAGAGCCAACTTTCTGATTTTTTTTTGTAGCGCCATGAACGGGACGTTTGCTTAGTCAGATGAAAATACAGAATAATTGACAATTCGTTTAGCATCAGAGCCTGGCGATGGCAAAATACTCAATTTTGAAATGACTACCGCTTAGAAGATTGGGCAACGTTGAACCTTAATTCTTATCAATGGGTTGGGACCGATAAAAAAGAGGAATAAGTTCAAATTCTAAACTCTAAATTTTTTGTCAGCAATCCTTGAACATTTATTGGGTGAACTCTGGAGAGTTTTTAGTAGCTTAGTATAGTTACGCTGGTGGGCATAGTGATAGTCAAGGAGCAAGGAGTATTATAGTCAAATTTACAGTAGTCCCCTGTCCTTTTATCTCTCAAAAAATTTGATACTTCTCTCGTCGAGCGCATTCCAACTTTCGGTTTGTTTAGAAATGCGAGCACAACTGGAACATCACATTTTTCATTTTTAATCGTTTCAGCAAATAATTCTTATTCTCCATCAAACCCTGGCATCAGAATTGTCAAGAGGAAGCCGAAGGCTGTAGCTGAACCATCAACAAAGTCTAACAGTCCACCAGTTCTTAGAAGAAAACTCACCGAAGACGGAGAGGATCCAGCGGTGGCAGCATTGCACAAGGTAAAAATAGGGTTTTTTTTGTTTTGAGTGGTAGATGTGAACGTTATAGCTTTCAACTCGATATGTGTGTTCTTTCAGGCCCCGACAAAAGGAATTTTGTGTAATCACCTTTCGAAAAAGAGAAATCTCAAGATTTCATTTGCGGACACTAAAAATCTCCCGTTGTGCCATATTAAAGAAATTGAGCGGATTGCAGCAAGTAAGTTGAATGTAAAAATAATAGTTTTACAGTAACTATATTTAAGTTCACTCAAATGTGACCGATTTCCGATGTTCGGAAAAGAACGAAGGAGCAGCATTTGGGCAAGACATCGATGAATTTGAAGACGACGTGGAATGGAGTCTGTTGAATGTTAAAAATGCGCGACCTGTTCGAACCGAATTGTCCGCGACCGGAAAAAGAGAGTCAAAGCGACTTGAAGATGCTGGTGTGATGAGAGCACCGCCGTTTGGGTAAGCACCACCATTTGGGTATAATTCTTTATGATCCGATATAAATTTGTGAATGTCACTCATATCCCACCACATAACTAAAATTAAACATTGCAACCGATTTCAGGCACTACACTCTTCATTGCATTTCGGAGCTCAACGACTTGGCAGCCGCTGACATGAATAGCCTTTTACCGATTAGAATTCCGTTAACAAGCAGTTTGGGCGAAGCTGGCAAAGTTAACGCTATCCGAGACCTTCCACTTCCTGGCCGCTTTCGACACAACGGCCTTCTCAAAATCAGCCCAGATCAGAAACTACCTCCAAACTTCACGCTCGATGTACATGATCAGTACAGAGAGGAGCAGCATATGAGAAGCCAACAGAATGCTGATGAAATCAGTTATACGCAGCCTGAACAGAAAAACTCCCACGTCATTCAACAGGTGTTCCAAGAGCCCGGTCCAGGTACGCATACGAACTACTATGCAGTGACGACCACAACTACAACAAAATCAGCAGCATCAGCTCCATGCACGAGTTCATCGTTTGAGCTTCCTGACAAACTGAAACAAATGCTGGAAAAACTCAAGCAAAAAGGAATATTGTCATCAGAAGAATCATCGGCACAAGCAGAACAAGCTCCGGTAGCTGTAGATCCATTAATGGCAGCCTTGCATAAAGCTCAACAAATGATGCAAGAACAATCGTCTACAAGCACTTATGCAAGTGAAGAGCCTTATGAAGAGCAAGTGATGGACGGGTATATTGTAAGTTCGAAAGCTTTCCGAGGTTACTGTGATTTATTCGCATCTATTCAGGCAACATTCGCCACTCCGGAGATGGTTGCTCAAGAGCAACGTCAGAGTTCTCAAAATTCAGAAGGATGGACTCAGTCAGGATGGAAAATCTCCGAGCCTTGTGTTTTCTTCAACAATCGTCCAGGAGGATGCAATCGCGGAGACCAGTGTAGATTCATTCACGACGAGGAATTGGTAACTCTCAGTTTTTTAAGCTCTGTTATAGCAAGAATTCTGTCGCTTCCGTTTCATCAGAAAAAAATATTTGTGTCGTTTCCGTGTCATCAGAATAAAAACATATGCACTTTACAGAGGCGCAAAAATATGGCTGAGCTTCCTGTTCGTGGTCCATATCAACACCGTGGTCGCGGAAACTATAGGGGTGGAAACTATCGCAACAACGGCCCATATCAAGACCACCGGGAGCCATCATCTTCCGGAGGACATCGTATGAATCGATTCCATGAACATGATGGACCGGGACCTCGAGGCGGTCGATATCACAACAATCGTGGTGGATTCTCACAGCGAGGAGGATCTCGATTTGACAGAAAGCCAGATCAATTCAGACCAAACCTTCCACCACACCAATATCAACAATATGCTGGCTCACCTACAGAACAAGGAAACTCCGGGAACGATATCGATGTTACGAATGATGGTTCGAGCCCACCGAAACGTCAACGCACGAGCAGATTTGATTTAAAAGAAGATGATGGATCAGCTAGTGGGCCTGCTGACGTCGATAACCGCCCTCCACGTAGAAGCCGTTTTGATGACCGCCCACATCGCTCCCGTTTTGATCAAAAACCGGAACAGAATGACAGATCTGGATTCGGGCACCATATTTGATAATCCCAACAAAAAAAATTCGATCGGCATGTTTTTTGCCTTTCATTATTATAAAGGAATTCTAACGCACCGCTGCAAATTCTTGTCTCTGTTCAAAAAAAAAAATAACTCACGCGTTTAAACTAACATTTTTTCCTAGCCTTTCTTGCAAATGTGATATTTTCTCCGTTTTCCAGTCATCGTCAGTAGACCCGAGTCAATAATATATTTTTTGTTTTTTTTTCTGTGAATGAAATAATTCGGGGATAGCTTTTTCTTGGTACTCATTTTTCAATAATCTGTTTTGGACAGATCTGAATATTTTATTCATCGTTCATGATAATCATTCAATTTATTGTTACAGAAGCATTCAGATGGCTAACAAAGAGTTCTACTTTGCGATTATCGGACATTCTGACCAGCCAATTTTTGAGATGGATTTTCCGGCTGGTGAAAGAAAGACCAAAGAATCAGAAGGGACACGTCACTTGAATCATTACATTGGGCATGCTGCTCTTGACATTGTGGATGAGCACGCCTTCACCACTACTCAGATGTACTTGAAAGTGAGCTTTAAATACCAAAATTCTATCTGGAACAAAATTAGTTGCAGATGGTGGATAAGTTCAACGAATGGTACGTTAGCGCATTTGTCACCGCGAGCCGCATTCGTTTCATTATTCTCCACACTCACCGTGCGGACGAAGGAATCAAACAGTTTTTCCAGGTTTTAATCTTGTTATTTAAAAAAAATTCGCAAGGCTTTTAATCTTCAGGAAATGTATGAGACGTACATCAAACATGCAATGAATCCCTTCTACGAAATAGATGATGTTATCGAGTCAATCGCGTTTGAACAGAAGGCTGCACTCTATGGACGGAAGTATCTTTCATAAAGCTGTTTCATACTTGACAAGATATGGAAAATGACTTTAATTTTGTTCTTCGGGTCTATTTTGTAGTTGCATAAAACAAAAAATGTGCTGATCCAATTTCTCTAGTGACTTAATTGTGTTATTGTTTTCAAAATTCTAACAACTTTTTTTAATTGACGAAGAATCTCATGAATTTTTATTTTTTTTTTGCAACCGAAAAAACGAACTTTGGCTTCGAGCACTTTTTGCTTCAAATTTTTTTTTGGCTCTGAACAAATTTTACAGCTTTCATGGCATTTTTATTATACCAAACATATTCCGCTGGATGAGAGATCTTATAAAAGGTTTGTCACGGAGATTAACAAAATAAGAATCATAGCAGTCGCTCGAGATGTGTGAGTCATGAGAAAGAGGAGAGAATTGGAAATTTTATTGCATAGCTGCGAGACGATAACGATGCAGCTCCATTGGACGTCCATGAACCGGTGGTGGGAATGACTCCTGATCGGTGACGTGGTCTAAGCTGATGAAGAGAAAGTGTCTCTTCTGCTGGTTCCACTGAAAGTTTAAAAGCCATCAAGTTTTGTTCAAATAGTTTGAAAAAAAATTTGAACACTTACCCGCATTTTGAACAGAATCTGTTGGTCACTGTTACTGCACGATGCGCGTCCGGTGATAATGTCAGCAAGCTGGTAAAACGCATCGTAGACAATCCACTAAAAAACCACTACTTGTATCTTTTTTTAAATTATCACTGAACTTACCAAAGACGGGAATCGTTTCATTTCTTTGAAAAATGGCTCTCCGCTGACATCATTTACAAAAATGTTGGATTTTGCCTGAGGCTCGAACACGCATTCTATATCTCCGCCCTCTTTCTCAACTGCCATCCACGCTTCGAAAGTTGCATTTGCAATGTCCACTGCTTGTTCCGTTTTGTCAAACACTTGGTAGAGAGCTTCAATTGTCCGATTGTGAAGCAAGTGAAGATTTCGCGCGTTAATTGGATTAGGGTCGTGGGGAATCATGTCGTAAGGTAGGAGATCATAACGTAATTGGAACTCTCTATGATTCCCCCTCCGCCGTGGGTCGACGTCAAGATTTACTCCCTCGTTTTGTCTGTAAAAATTGATTCACTGAAGATGATTCACTGAAACTAATGATGAATTAGGCTAGTTCATTTTCTTTTTCTATGTTGTGATAATATTCGTCAAATCCCGTGCCGAACCGGATTATGACCAAAAAATTATCACTAGCACCGGATACCTGATTCCTATGTAAAGTTAGCTTCGATGACTCTCAGAAAAAATTTTTTATACTTTTTTTTCACTAGTTTTGCTTGTTTCAACATTTCGAAGTTTGATTCACCGGAAAAGTTTTAAATTCTACCTGGCCTGGCTCGTGCCAAGTATGGTTTCAATTGATCAATTTTTCTAAATACTCACCCTTGAATTTCCATTCTGAACACTTCCAGGTTTGATTGGTTCCCACGGTAACCGTTCTAAAAAACTTTAATCATTAAACATTTGTCGCTTGACATCTCAATTGATATTAATTCGGCGAAAAATTGTATCGAAAATGCCTACAAAGTTTTAAACACTGATTATGCAATACCGAAATAATTTGTTTCGCTGAAAAAAGCAAATAAAAGTGGCTATTTAGGTGGGAGTAGGAGCAAAATGAATTTCGAAATGGAAAATCGAAAAAGGTTCTAGTAGAGCGCGTTTGCATGCTCTCTGTCGAATTGTATTTTGTGTGTGTGTGTGTGTGTGTGTGTGTGTGTGTGTGTGTGTGTGTGTGTGTGTGTGTGTGTGTGTGTGTGTGTGTGTGTGTGTGTATGTGTGTCTAGCCAAAATAGAGAGTGTGCCACTGAGTGCTAATAAGAATTTAGAAAAACGAGAGGAAAAAGAGGGGAAAACACAAGGAGGAGTTCATGGGTAGGGGAGTATTAAATAAATGGGAGTGGCATAGACCTAGAACGCGTACAAAAAAAAGAATTTAACTGTGTTCTCTTCAGTAAAGATGAATAGCTTCTCTTTGTTTTTGGTTTATGTGAAAAACCCACTCAAGTCATCCCAAAGTAAGAAAATAATTTCAAGAAGGTTTTACGCATTAAAAAACACGGAAAATCTGATAGTTGAAAAAGACCAAAGATATATTTGATGAAACGGAGGAAAGAAGAAATAACTTTGAATTTTTTCTCCAGTATTGTTAAAAATACGCCAATAACATGAGAATTTGAACATTTAAACTTTTAATACAATTTTTAACATTATTCATTTAAAACAAAAATGAACATATCTGTTGAATCCAAGAATTGTGGTCTGAAGAGAAATGAGCAAAACGTTTTCTTAACTGTTTGGACATATTATCCTTTGCTTTTATGTGTTTTTGAACGTTCTTCCAACACACACACACACACACACACATTCAATTAACACTTGAAGATCAGATTCCTGAAAAACCATAGTATCGATATTCAATAATCCAAACCAAGGAGCTTTCGGAAAAAGTTAAGTTATTCACAGAATATCGTCCCAACCTTTTGATAAAGTTTCTCCCTCTTCCCTTCTTCAAATCTTGGCCACCACATTTCTCATCCGAAATTATGTTTTCTTCCGACAAACAAAACAAGTAGTCCCGATTGTTCTTGTTCCGGATGATAACAAGTGGACTGAATGAGATTTCAATATAAAAAAAAGTGAAATGAGACAGCCGAATACAGCCACAAACTGCAAATTTCGAGAATAAAAGAAACACACAGTCTCGAGAATTAGGCAAATTCTTGTGAAAACAATATTTCCGTAAAAGCAGTTGTAGTTTATTAATTTTAATGTTGAACTGAATAACTATATTCATAACCCAATAATTCGAACGAGCTCACTTTATAAAGTTATATACACTATGCAATTTTAATGGAATAAAACTGAGAATCCTGGTCAGATTTCCTACTTCCAATCATTGAGTTCCGCGTGTTTTTTTACATTCTTTTTATACCGTAGTTGCGTCGAGAAGAATGCATTTCTTCATCAGCAAAGATGAACAATAAGGCGAAACCTTTTTCCTTGGTTGGTATGTGTATCTGATGACATCCATCTACTCATTTGATCTGCGTTTGTCCTAATTTCGTTCCGTGTTACTCAATCAACACATATCTCTCATTTCTCGTACATGGATTTCAATTCTTTTCCTCTTCCTCCCACTTCACAGACCTACCTACTTTTTTTGGTTCGCACCTACTTTTCTCTCTGTTAATTAGTCTTTTATCTCATTTTTGCGCAATTTTCTTCAACATGCGTGATAATGCAGTTGACCCAGTTTTCTGTTTTATGTTTTTTCCTAAAGTGTGTTAACGGAAAACTATTGAATCTTTTACCGGTATTTAATAAAAATCTGATTTTCAGGTATAAACGAACAGCATAAATATTTCCTGTGAATTGAAAATTTTTCTTTTCAAGACTAATTAACTTTATATCGTTTCTAATACAGCTCGAATTAAATTTTCTTACCATTTTACTGTTTTCAGATCAAAAATAAAAAATGCAGACAAAGTCCCTGATTGTGTTTCTAGTAACCCTCGCATCCGTACTTGCCACAGATAAAAAATGTCCACCCGTTAAAAAAGGTTTGTTTTCTTAGATAAATGTTCTTCACCAACCGATTTATGCTCCAGCATATTCTAACTCTTTTTCTTGAGGTGCCTGTTGTACATCTCCAATTACGCCAGGATGCCGTTTACCTCGGCAGTGTTATAAATACATTATGGCCAATTGTCCAGATAGGAAAATTGCTGTTTTCTCGAGGAAAGTTGGGAATGATAGACGATCGGCCCCAAGAAAACCTTTAGTAACTTCCACCATCAAGTTTCCAATGTGATTTTTTCGCTTCAGGGAAAGTGCGGAACAGCTGAAGTCAACTACCAACCTTGTACGTCAAAAGGAATAGCCAATAAACTGTTCCTTGCTTGCTGTCAGCTGTATGTTCCGGAGGAATGCCATCATATGTGTGTCTACGAGACTGACCAATCTGTCACTAGAAATATGGTGAACCTTGATACTCTTTTTTTCAAATTGAAGGAAGATGAAAACTTAAGAGCATGATTAAATGCTCTTTCGATAAAATACTGAAATTCACGGGAATTTGAGTAGGGTTAGTAGGGTTAATAATCATGTGTATCCCTAACGGTCAACATGCGAAATTTTCGCCATCTTCTTCGCTTTCCTTTTCTTACTTTTTAGAGTTGAAACTGCTAGTCCCGAACAACTTCATTTTCCACAGAAAAGAAACCAAATACCCATCAAAATACCCATTGACAAGTTTTCTTTCTTCCACCGTTTGACATGTTGTTTTTGACCGAACACAACTGTTCCGCGGGGAAAAACCATCAATCACATTTTGGTTTTGCAAAACTAAAACATGTATTTACAGCTGACTAACATGCGAAAAGATAGCCAATGCCGTATCAAACACCTGTCGTCAATTTTGTATTGCGCCAGTCAAAATAGAGATAACAGAAAATGTTGCTTGGATTTGGATCTCAATGCTCCACAACTTCAGGTGTCTATTTTTTTTGATTTGCAAAAAAAATTATTTTTTAAGGTCGGATCTCGTTGCCTTAGAATGTGCGATCCATCGGGAACTTCAATTGACAGAATCACCAAAGATGACGTGACTTGTCTGTACAATTGGAATGTCATCATGTACTGCCATCATGCTGGAATTCGTGAAATGTAGAACAGTCAAATCATTTCAATTTACCGCAACTCATACCACTTTTCTTTTTATTTTTTTTTTGTTGCCAACGCTTATCTCAAGAAATGCATTCCAAAGTATAATTTGCTTCCAAGAAATGAAGATTGTAACAATGATAAAAAAAATTGCAGAATGTGCAAAAATTATAATGGTTATAATATAGAAGTGATAAAACAATTTGAACAGTCAATCCGTTTTGATTTTTTGACTCTTGTTTTTAGATGATTGAAAATTATTTTTTTGGAAAATTTCATGTTTTTTTGATTGCATTACCTCTTTTCAATGATCATTATCATGTCTTGAGCTTTGTAATTTCCTAGAAGCCATTAGGTTGGCAAGTTTGACTCCGGACACGGTTTTGTTCGCTTATAACTCGAAGAAACTAAAACTGCGTTTGTACTGTTTATGTTTTATTGTTACGAGTTGTTTATTATATTACTTGCTGGGTTTTAATTAATAGTTATCAGAAAGAAACAAGTTTGAAATACTCAAACAAAATTTTCTGATGCGCTTTTGTTTGCAGTACGGCTTCAAACAGTACAAAAACCATTCCACACACTGCCGAAAGTTTTTGTTGAGGAAGCACTATTACTGACGCAAGTCTTTGAATGGTTTAACCGATTCAAAAACAGTTATGAAAGCCTTGCGGACAACGGGAGTGGATTTCCTCCTCAAATTGTCGATCTCGATGTTCTAAAGCATATCATTGAGTCGGAACCGCGTCAAACGACTGGCGAACTTACTCAGCAGTTCGGATGTTCTTATGGCACAGTTTTAAATCACTTGCACTCAGTCGGCAAAACAAACCGCTACGGAGAATGGACGCCACACGAACTCACCAATGCCAACAAAGCGACAAGGGTGGGGAGGGTAGGGTTTCTTCTCCGCCGTGCCAAGAAATCAGGGTTTTTCGACTCAACTGTAACTGGAGATGAAAAATGTGTTTCATATGACAGCATCACAAGAAAATGAGAGTGATTGGGTGTTGGTTAACATCCGAAACCGATCCCAAAACAGGATTTTCATTGAAAAGATTATACTTTGTGTTTGGTGGTACAGTAAAGATCCTGTATGTTTGAGCTTCTGAATTCTTGTCGGAAAGGCACGGCAGATCTCCCTTGACATTTGCTTAACCATGTTGGTAAAGCACTTCGTCGGAGAGGAATTGATACGATGTCGGCAAAGTTGCTTCATGACAACGCCCGATCGCATGTTGTAAAGATCACATCGCAGAAAATCGAAGAGCTGGGATGGAAGTTTTTTCTCACGCGCCATATAGCTCTGATACAGTTCTATCAGATTATTATGTGTTTCACTCGATGAAGCACTGTATGAGAAATACTCCAAAAACAACGATGAGATCAAAAAATGGGTAGACGAGTATTTCGTATCGCAGCCGGCGGAGTTCTTCTATAGAGACATCCATTCTGTGCGTGAACGTTGGCATGAAGTTGTGAATAATAATGGTGAATACATTTTGGATTGAGGTTATACGGTTTCAAATTTACAATGAATTGTTTGTGTACAAAAAAATCCGGAGTCAAACTTGCCAACCTAATATTACATATATGCTGGAAAAAACAGGAAAATGTTAATTAAATAATTTCTTGTGTTTATGACTCTCTTCTCTTTTTCTAATTTCAAATTTAACGTTCTTATCTTTTCCGCATTTTCATCATCATCTGGTTTTCCTCTCCCCGACTCCACCAAATGGTCGTTCGTACATGTCAATAAACACACAACAATGGGTCCTCGGATCCGGTGGAGCACAAACACACATACACAAGTGGCATATCTTCGGTCGAATTCACTAGATTGTAGAGCAACATCAGACAACTGTCCTCGATTAGATAACACACGCGATTATATGTTGTATCAGAAACGAGTGAGAGACAATTGTGATAAAAGAAAGAGGGGCAATTGTTAGAGAAGGCGGTAGTTCTCAAAATTGAATTCTTCTGATGTTACATGTTTTCTCGCGATAGAAAAACTATCGAATGATTTTTATTGAGTTAAACAAGAATTTAGTAATGTTTTCTCTCTTATACAATGTTTTCAATACCTTTTTACGATCTATTACTTTAATAATCTCACAAATGTTATCTAACTGTTTTCATATTGCAGGGTCCATCACGATAACCGAATGTAAATGCCGTACGTCGGTGTGGGAGCGCAAAAAGGTAACAAACCATTTCTCATTCATCTTCTCATTTATTACCTGCCGAATGTTTTCGTTTTCCTCTCACCATTGATGTGACCTGAACAACTGCTGCAATGATTTGGCGGGTTACCTCTTTCACCTCTCCTTCCGAAGAACATCATAAGCTTCTGAGCCGAATTTTTTTCATGAATGATTGTTTTTCTGATTTTTGAAGCATACTTGTACCGGGCCGGGCTTTTTTTTCCAAATTTTAGAGTCCCTTTGTTTTAAAAGTTTAGAAATGCAAAAAGCCAATAAGGGGGGACCCTCATGTAATTTTTTTTGTTAATCGAACAGCCAAACAAACCATAAAAAAATTTAGGAAAAAATTCTATTGAGAGCTCAAAATTTGGCTTCAAAATACAGAATTTTGATACCGGGGGTAACGGGCCGTACCCTAGCCTTGAAAACTTCCGCAGGCCCGGCCAGGCCCGGCCCGGAACTTTACAAGTATTTTTCAAGCGTCAAACGTTTTCGTGTGTTTGACACAAAACCAATAGTAGGTGTAGACTAGGGTTGGCTATGGGGCAAAATGGGGCGATCCCCGCCCCAGCCCCGCCGCGCCCCGTGCGCTTGTAGCTTTCAGAGTAACCTAGTTGAGTACCCTGAATTGAAAAAAAATAATTCGAAAAGGAAGTTACTGTTTCATACAACAAAAAATTTTTCAACAGGGTGAATCCCCGCCCCGCGTTCGGGGGCTCCCAAATCAAGCGGGGAGCCCCCAACCCTAGTATAGACCAATAAAAATATATCAATCAGGTGTCCGGTATTGAAAAGTTTCAAAAGTTTTGTTACAGCTTCCACAAACTTGACGGGAGGTCCAATGATGAAAGCTTATGCTTTTGTTCTCGCTTTTTTCCTTCTTGGGTTAGGCGTCCTTGCTCTTGGAAAACATCACTCTGGACGACGATTCAACCAGTATAGCAAAGTTTCAATTGATGGTAAGTGTTTCATGATTTATTATAAAATCTTGGGCTTGTCCGGCCGACCCCCCCCTGTTTGTACAGACGCCGATTTTTTTTCCAAGAAGGACAACTTTTCCTTGTTAAGGAGAAAAAAAATTAAAGTTTTTTTTTCATAAAATAGGTAGGCCGGACAAGGTCAAGAAAATTCATCTTTAGGCTCCGCCCGGCCCGTTGCAACGTTGATTTATTCCAAACATTAAACTTTTTAATTCCAAACTTTTTCACTCTACGCGCTAGTGTTACTGGCAGACTATGAGCTTCCTAAAAGTGTCACCGTATTTTGATCAATTTCAGATATTCATGAAACCGATGCGAAAACAATTCAAGACAACATTAAATCCGAAAACATCAAGAAATACCTCCGCATCTTCACACAAGAACCCCATATTGCCGGAACCGATGCTAATAAAAAAGTAGCATATGCTATTGCTAGTGCTTGGACGGAAGCAGGTCTGGAAGATGTACACACCTTGCCCTATGAAGTGTTGTTATCTTATCCAGACTTTGAGAATCCTAATTCGGTTGTTATACAAAATTCAGCCGGGAAAGAAATTTTCCGGAGTAAAGGAGTCAGTCCAGTTATCATCCCCGATGAACAATCAGGAAAATGTTGGTTGCAGATTTTTTTTATTACTATCCCCAAATCGTATATTGCAGACGCGGGGCATCAATGGTTGGCGTATGGGGGTAATGGCACAGTTTCTGCCGACGTCGTCTATATCAATAGAGGAAACGCGAACGATTTCAAAAACCTGAAGTTGATGGGTGTCGATGTGAAGGGTAAAATTGCATTGATGAGATACGGTCATGGTTTTCGAGGTGACAAAGTGTACAAAGCACAACAAGCTGGTGCAATTGGAGCGATTCTGTTTTCTGACACTTCAGATGTTGCCCAAGACGGTGTTGATTCCGGTTAGAAAAACTTGCTTTGAGAGCTTCACTATTTTTATCTGTTCAGAGCATGTTTATCCAAAAACCATCTGGATGCCAAACGAAGGCGTTCAAAGAGGATCATTGATGCATGGTGATGGAGATCCACTCTCTCCTTTTTATCCTTCAAAGAAAGAACTCTTCAAAGGAAGAACTATTGAAGAAGTCGGTTCCTTTTTGACATTTTTTTAATTCTTAACTTTCTTATTCATTTTGATATAATGCATATTGTTAGGATTTCAATTAAACATTTCAAACGAACTCAAATAACAATATTTATACATACCGTAAAACCTCTAATAGAACGACACCCGGATCGTCCACTTTGAGCCTATATATCTCACTTCCTGTGAAAGATATCAAAAAGTGGCTAACTAGTAAAATGTTGCTGATATCCTGATAAACATTTTACTAGTTAACCACTTTTTGATATCTTTCAAAAGAAGTGAGATATATAGGCTCAAAGTGGACGATCCGGGTGTCGTTCTATTAGAGGTTTTACGGTATGTATAAATATTGTTATTTGAGTTCGTTTGA